AATCATATGGAAAGTCGTGGAGTAGATATCGAAGTAATTGATGCCAAAATTCGTGAATTCAAGCTTAAAACCTTACCAAGCGCCAAATATTTTGATGATCAACGATTGCTACACCTGGTTTGCTCAAAAACATTATATAAATAAGTGGGAATTATTTAATTAAAATGTATTTCATTTTAATTGAATTATATTATTCGAAAATATCTCATAATTATTTATGTATTGCTTGTTTTTAAATGTTTTTCTATTTGTTAATATTGTCAAGAGATGCTCTGATTTCTAGAATTTTAGATACCTGGTGAACAAAGCGATCAATGGATTTTTGAACGGATGAAATTGCTGATTCAGCGTGCAATGGAGCTTGGAGTTCCCGTTACAACTTCAAAAGTAGCTTCACGAACAGGATCACCCCTTCAACGATCTGATTCGGTCTTTAAAAAATACTTAAGCTTGCAACGAAATGATGCAATATTTTAGAGACACTTGGAAATTCATCGAATACAAGTTTAAAAGAAAGAACTATACATTTTATTCGAGAACATTGCATATGTGTTTGGTGAAGTTTTATAATAATACAACAAAGTTCGGGACTATCACATGATCGAAAACTAGTCTTTGAGTCTCTTAAAAAACTAGTCTCTTTAAAAGAGTAAAAATTTTCAGCTTACTACTGTAACACAAGCTGCAGCAATTGTAGAAGCTGTAGTAAACAGTGGAGAAATTTCTGAAAATCAGTCATATCGAGTGACAAAGGCAGAAATAAAAGATGGAAAGGAAGAAGATAAAGGGCCTGCAGGAGCAAAAACTAGGCCTAATACATCAACTCTAAATTCTCCCGCAACAGCAAGGAATGTAACAAATACTACAATAACAGCATCTAACGAGAAAACTACAACAGAAATGATATCTGGTAATTTATTAATAAAAAATTTAAGAAAAATCAATAATCAAAATGTGATAATTTGGAGAAGAAAACAAAATTTTAAGTGGGAACTTATAAACAAATCACATTTCAAACTCTTCAACAGATCAATTTTATTTAGACTTATACTTGTTTCTGATATAAGTATTAAAAAAAATCGTTTCTTGATGTGATAAAAATGAAAAAAGAGAAAATAAAAGTTAGTTTTGTACTAGTCAATAGTTTCTACAAATTTGATCAATTTCAGAAAAAGACAAGCCATCAACTGCCTTAAAACATGAACTTTCATCTAAAGGAAATGCGGTACTGTTTATTTGAATCGTCTTCACATATCGATATAAATTTTCTTATTTTGTAACATTTTTGCTTCAAAGAAGTTTATCCCTTCATTTCGTAGATCGATACCAAAGAGTTTGAAGGTATAGTGTACTTTGATCAAGAAATAATTGAGGAAATATTCATTTAAGTTAGTCTTTTTTCTTTACTTCTTTGTTAAAGTACACTTAAGTTGGTTTAAGTTGGTTTCTTTTTGTTGAATTTACTACAAATATGAATTATTTTAAAAGTGCATTATAACTTATTGAGATTGTACACAGTATTGTCGATTTTTACTAATTTCGAAATTTGCCACTAAATCACTTCCGAGTTTCCAAATCAAAAATTTACTGTTTTTGTTTATGAATTAATCAAAATTTTAACTATTTTTTAGGCTAATGAATCAAAATCCAACGAAATGAAAGGTGATTCTGCGATAGAACCAATAACTGATATTGAAATACGTGAAAGGCCAGAAATATTAGAAGCAATTGGTGGTAAACTTCTAAATATATTCATGAAATAATAACCAGAGCAAAATAAATTAAATGACTTTACTTCAAATAAAGAAAAACTTTGCTGTTAACATCAAGTTATTGTATCCAACTCGGAAGTTTAATTCAGAAACTGCAACACAAGGAGCAGAGGCAACATCGATTGCGGCAAATAGCGAACCAAATATGGAAGGGTCACCACAGTCATCAAGACAGTCGTGTATGAAGTTGTTCATCTTTTATTTGGTTATGAATTCTAGTTAATTAAAATAGTTTGCATTGAAAATTATGTTGATGGTTTGAATCCTTCATACGTATTCATAATATTTTTTCTTTCAAATATTCATTTTAATTTTCAAAAACTCTAAAATCATTTTAAAATATTTCTGCACCGTTTATTTAACGAAACAAATATAATGATCCTCATTTGTCTTTGTAATCGTTTTCCATAGATTTCCTTTTTAATACTGCTGGAATACTGTTTAAGCCAGGTCAAGTATTAAAAAGACATCACGCAAAATTAGCAGGACAGTTTCGCAAATTTCAAAATCATCCGAAACATCACGTCGATCTGCATATAGCGGCAAGAGTGAATGTCAGTCAGTGTACAGTATCAAAAATGAGAGTAAGTTTTACGCCACATAATTACAAGAACTTTTCATTTTGCAATTTTGTGCGAAACTCGGGATGCGAAAAATTCTCGAATTTATTCTTAATAATTTTTCAAATTTTTGTTTGCATGTAAGCATGTTTTGATTGTAATGATCATAAATACCGCGTGATTACTTGTTTTTTTATCTTTTCTCATTCTGAATCTCACTTTTAAGCTTACTGTCATTTTTATTAAAAGCTTTAATTTGACCAAAAATCAGCTGGAATATTTATTGCTGAATAGTTTCAGCTAAATAAATTCTCATATTATATATATTTAGCAGCTAAACTGAACATACTATAAAAATACTTTAGCTTTGAGAAAAGAAACAAATAATCGACTATGTTAAAATATCAATCAATTTTCTGGAACAAATTCTAAAAGCCTGAAAATGATATGCTGGCGCCCATTTTTCTCTTTTATTTCAACAAAAAAATTCAACCTTTTTCATCTCAATCGTTAACCGGGAAGGCTATTACTTATGGCATAATTATTAGCTATTGTTAAATATTACGAATAAAAGAACTAACTAACGAAACAATAAAAATAGCGGGAAGTCGGAAAAATCTAATCAATCAAACTGGTAAGTAAGAGAGTGCTATGGAAACTAAAGCGATTGTTGCCAGATGTAGATGCTTTACCACTGACTGCTATTGCAACCTCTCAAGACAGAGTGAAGAAATTCATTCTAATGAATGCAAAAATTCTACCATAACAGATCGTGATGTTAAATATCGATAATAATGTTATTTCTGAATTTTCAACTTCTTGTATGTTTTAGGAATTCAATATTTTATTTTTTTTGTATACTTCATAAATTTTCTCTTTTATGCTGCATGAAAAAACATACAAGTATCTTTATACATGAAATGGAAATTGTAAAATTTCCTTTTCTCTGCTCATTACTTTCAGTTTTTACTCCAAGCAAATTTTTCATTTTTTTTAATGATTATAATTTTTTCGTCCTTTTTCTAAAATTTGCAGTGTTTAATTCCTATGATTTCAGCCCAATTTACTACTGATGGACCATCGTCCGATTTAAAATTAAATACTTCTGCAATGGATAACCGTTTTCCACTCGGTCTACCCAATAATGCATCAGCTATTGTCATTGTTGGTAAGTAGAATTACAAATATTTTATAATGGATATAACATCGTATGCGGTCGAATAAATTATCTCCCTACTTAATGTATTTTACAAATTTATTTATGAATTTTTTTTTCACCGAAATGTAGAATTATTTGAATAAGTTTGGAATAATGGATATTTCAATATATACTGTTGACATTAAAACATTGTAAATTATATCATTCTTCATCACACCAAATGTTTACTTTATCAGCATTTTATGGTGCCACCATAAAAAGACATTCAATTTTATTAGTCAAATGAATGTGCTTTTAGCGAATCCTAACCTTATATAAAT